TCCATTTGCAAATTACCATGCCCTCACACAAAGGGTCATAAAAACTCCCCAGTATCTCAAAACTCCCACTAAGATGAAGACATGAGCTAGAATGCTTCTGCAACCCCCTAAGTACGTGCCAGGCCTTCGGCCTTGACTTTTCCATTCACCAAGATTCTCTGACTCAAACTGGTTCTTTTTCATCAACCAATTTCAGCAAAGATCAACTGGGATCTTCAGATTGCATCAAACCTCTCTTTCAGACAGATAAGACGTGCAAGTATTCAAATTTAGTCTTATTAATTGATACATTAGGTATCATTTGCACCTTTAACCCTTTCCTATACAAACTGTATGCATGTGTGTGTGTGTGTGTGTGTATATGTGTATGTTAGACCAGTTTAAGTGTTTATGTAGTATGTTAGACTAGTTTAAGTGTTTATGTAGTTAATAAAGTCTTATTTGTATCACACTTGACGTTCATTGTTTGCTCATAACTGGAGTCACTTAATCATGCAGATTTATGCTACAAGCTCTGTGTAGAGTTGTACAGTAAGAAAGTTATTTCCTTTAACCAGGAAATTAACGTTCTTAGAATTGACAGACAGTTGACCCTGAGAGGTCAAGTAAATATCTACAGCGGATCTAAATATTTATAATTAATTAGTTATGATTATTCATATTTCCCCATGAGCTGGTTCGCTACACGGGTACTGCAAAACCTATTCATCTCGCTCCTTACCGCTCTTCTCCGGCAAAAAAGAAGTTGATAGAAGGGCAAATTCCTGGCCTCACCTACATTTGAACAGCACCTTGTCGACCTTAAGGATGTTCTCACCCGACTGGAGTCAGAAGGACTTATCTATAAAGCTAGCAAAGTGTCAGTTCTGCAGAAGCGAACTTACCTTCCTTGGTTATAACATCACCGCAGAGGGCATCCTGCCAAACAAGGACAAGGTGAGAGCACTCACAGATTTTGCAGTACCAGTCAACGTCAAACAAGTCAGACAGTTTTTAGGACTGACAAGTTATTACAGACGTTTTATCCACGACTACGCTCGCCACGCAAAGCCACTGTTCGCACTTACCAGGGCAGATGTTCTGTTCATGTGGACAGATGCATGTCAGGGGGCCATGGACTACCTTAAAGACAAGCTGACTTCTGCACCTGTCTTGAGATTTCCGGACTTTTCCCTTCCTTTTTTCGTTCACGCTGATGCGTGTGATGTCGGACTTGGTGCCGCTCTCATGCAAAAGGGAAAGGATGGCAGAGAGGTTGTAGTGGCCTATGCGAGCCGTGCACTGCACAAATCTGAAAAGCCTTATTGTACTCCAGAAAAGGAGTGTTTGGCCGTCATCTGGACCCTAGAACACTTCAGACCGTATGTTGAGGGTCTTCAGGTGACCATTGTCTCGGACCACAGCAGTCTAAAATGGTTAATGTCCCGCCCAAATCTCACAGGCAGGCTGGCTAGGTGGTCCCTCCGCTTACAAGATTTTGATTTTAACATTGTCCATAAGCCAGGGGTGAGTAATAAAGTTCCAGATGCCCTGTCTCGAAACCCCATACCTTTTTGTGATGCACCCATGGACATTCTGCCTGAATACGCTGTTATAGGGGGCCTTGATCTGCGTGCCTTGCCTCCTGTGATCTTTTCAGATCGCAAGCACATAAGACAGCTGCAACTCAATGACCCGGTTACAGGGGGACTTATACGCACGCTTGAGGGGCAAGAGGAGAGTGACACAGGAGAGCTGTCACAATATACAATGCATGATGATCTTTTGTACTTCAAAGACGGCAAAGTGTCTTGTAGCCTTCACCCTCTGAAACAGCTTAAGCTTTATGCTCCTACTGCCATCAGACGATCGTTGCTGGAATATTACCATGATCACCCAACCGCTGGACATTTGGGGTCGACAAAAACTGTGGCAAGACTAAAACACAGATTTTTCTGGCCAAAAATGTCGTCGGAGGCCAAAAAGTATGTAATCTCTTGCACTGTTTGTCAGTTCACTAAACCTAGCCAAAGGAAACCTGCTGGGTTTATGATACCGATTTGTCCCTAAAGACCCTGGGAGAACACTGGAGTTGACTTTGTAGGGCCTTTACCTCGCACATCTTGCGGAAACACTTATATCCTTGTTTTTGTGGATTATTTTTCAAAGTGGGTGGAAGTCAGTGCAGTGAGAGAAGCAACTGCACAGGTAGCGGCAAGCAAGCTGCTCAGTGAGGTTTTTGCACGACATGGGGCCCCTACATACCTGATTTCGAACAGAGGGTCCCCTTTTGTTAGTGAACTTTTCAAAAATGTACTCTCTGCATTGGGCTCTGAACACAGACTCACGAGTGCGTACCACCCCCAAACTAATGCAATAGAGAGGATGAATCACACCTTGAAGACTGCCATTCGTGCCTACATCGGCAACAAACACACCGCTTGGGGCCGTTATCTTCCGCAAATTTGTTTTGCCCTGAGAACCGCCCCACATGAGAGTACAGGCCAAAGCCCTTCAATGTTGTTGTATGGACGGGAATTGGATACGCCTCTCGATCTCATTACACAGCCAAACTCTGATGGTTTTGGTGAGCCAGGTATTCCTTACCCTGAAAGCCTGACGTCATCAATTCAGGAAGCACACGATCATGCGAGGGCTGTCCTGGATTGTAGCCATGCTAAAAGAAAGCATTATTATGATCGTAAACGTTGTTCTGTCTCTTACTGTATGAATGGCCTGGTTAGAGTAAGGACACATCCCGATCTGATGCCCTGGCAAGCTTCACAGCGAAGCTGGCACCTTTGTATACAGGACCATATCGCGTCACACAGAAACTGTCAGATGTGAACTATAGGCTCACGAACGTGAGTATGGGGGGAGACGCATGTGTCTTTCATGTTGTGAACCTGCAACCATTCCGTACCTGGGATTCATGTAATGGCCCGCAGCATGTGACTTCCGAGAGTTGCTTTAAAGGAGTTCCTGGTGACTGTTCATTTTAGGATGAGGTGCCTGGGGACAAAGATGACCACTTTTCTACCACAAGGTTTGCTGAGCCTGAAGCCGGGGACAACTGTGGACGATGCTTTTGACCTGACAGACAATATGGACAATGTTGATTGTTTACCTCACCAGGAGGTTGACATAACCTCTAAGACCGAAAAATTTTCTGTCAGTGACTGTGACCTTAACAGGCATTGCTATAACTTGAGACCTAGGCTGGCGCCAAGAATCACCTCTGGGTGGTCAACTAACAGGTGGACAAATACATACCACACTGACAGACTAGACCTTAAATGAGGCAGTAAGCACGCCAGTGAAAGCTCATTGTTCTCTATTCAACACTGCAGAGTTTGTCTGTTGACATGTTACATGTTTTGAGGTTAAAAACAAAGGAAGTTGTAAAAACCAGAAAAAGTATCCCATTTTGCATCTGTGATGGATTAGGTGCTGTTTTCTTTTAATTGAAATGGGTCGCTGCAGAATATATATGTTGGTTCAACTGTACTGTCATGTATGCCAGTTGCTGCCATGTCAATACATGCCACTATGTGATCTGACACTCTTTACAACTGTTCATATGTTCACAAGTATGAGGTTGTAAGGTACTATTGTTACTCAGTTGTGCATGGCTGAGGACAGCCTTTGTTTTCCTGGGGGGATCTGTAACGGCCACCTAATTTGTTATGTACCTTTAAGGCACCTCCTGTGATGTCATGCGTTGTCTAGGTGGGTGTGCCTGGGGAACGGTTGCGCTGGTGATATAGCGGACTGTTCTACTATGCTCTGCTCCAGAAAGCATCCTGATTCTTTTATTATTTTTATTTGTAATTCTGCCAAAGTGTGTCTTGTAATTTTCTCCCCACTCCCCTCCATGTATGCGGAGAGTGAGAGGATCATTTGAAGCTACGTATAAAGACATATGGGATCACCAACTCTCTCGTCTATGAGCATTATTTTCCTTCTTTTATTCCTGACATCTGGGCAAATCCTAAAACACTCTGGTCGACGTTACAAGCCATGTGAGACACTTTTTATTATGGATGGGCGCTTTTTATTTAACTTCTTTTGGACTGATTCATGCAACACCCGCTGAGTGGCATTAAACAGCTTGAAAGACAATGTTGATTGTTTACCTCACCAGGAGGTCGCCATAACCTCTAAGACCGATTATTTTTCTGTCAGTGACTGTGACCTTGACAGGCATTGCTATAACTTGAGACCTTGAATTTTCTCCCCACTCTCCTCCATGTATGCGGAGAGTGCGAGGATCATTTGAAGCTACGTATAAAGACATATGGGATCACCAACTCTCTCATCTATGAGCATTATTTTCTTTCTTTTATTCCTGACATCTGGGCAAATCCTAAAACACTCTGGTCGACGTTACAAGCCGTGTGAGACACTTTTTATTATGGATGGGCGCTTTTTATTTAACTTCTTTTGGACTGATTCATGCAACACCCGCTGAGTGGCATTAAACAGCTTGAAAGATCAAAGACCATTTTTAATATAACTCCGACTGGATTCGTCTGAAAGAAGAAAGTCATATACACCTAAGATGCCGTGAGGGTGAGTAATTTATGGACTAATTTTCATTTTTGGGTGAACTAACCCTTTTTAAGTCTGAGAATGATTCAGTGGGCTAAATAACACTGTTAATTGTCAAGAAATGACTTCTCTTTAAATGTTTTGGTTCAACACACTCACCTGTTGATCAGAAATTGCCTTAAACTTACACCAGAATATTTTTATTTAGTAACTTTCAGGAGGGTGTACTCATTTCTGCAACATAACGTTTTATAACTTCGATAAGAGAGCCTTATTTTCCTGAATAATTTTGACTTGCTTCTTTGGTAAGTGATCAGGCAGACGTGCTGGAGCATTATAACTCTGAAGAATCCTAACATGTGTTCTGAGTAAAGAGTAATTGCTGAGTTTGTGAGGTTTCAGGGCTGTACTCATCTGATCATGAGTTATTTCAGTCCGCTCTCTAAACAACAGACTGAAGCAGCCTTCACCTGCTGCTGTTTATCGCTGTGATGAAGCTGAAGAATGATCTCATCAGACCGTCCTCTGGATAACAGCGGCCTGCCACTGCTCAACGGAGACCTGGAACAACAACAGCCGGATCGGTTTTAATGACGCCACTCGCTCAGACGGACGACACTGCAATGACTGGAGTACGACACAGCATGCATGTTACACACATGTCCAGAAATAACATGAGCAGATGATGGCAGGAGGTTTAAAAATAGCATGTAAAATGCTGGAATACTACCTGAAAGAAGCCAGTATGTACTGTATGGAAAAAGTGTTTAACTCTTTATCCACCAAACACTGAATTTTATGCATCTCCTGAATGAGTCTAGAAAGTGCCGATCAAAAACACAGGCGAGGAAGACTCAGAAACGAGCGATCTGTGTTGATAAAAAAGAATGCTTGAATAAAACCGTTTTTTTGTTTAGAAGTAGAGGCTCTGTTCTTTATTTTGATGCACTGCATGTTCAGATATTCATACAACTAATTATTCTGGAGGCCATTACATTTTTGTGAAAATCATCAAAAACGCTGGTGGGGAAAGAGTTAATAGGCTACTCTATCAAAAGAGTAAATGACTACAAGCCAAATATCCTTAGAATATTCAACTGTACAAATTTACTTTGACTTGTGTTTATTTGTCAGTGTGAGCAAGTATAATTCTGTATATTTGTAACTATAACTGATAAGTACATGAAACTAAAAGTAGTGCAAACTGTCACATGAGCAGAGCAGTTTAATTACAGTTTGAACCATGAGAAGATGATGCTGCTTCAAAGCTCAAAAACAAAAGGCTAGAAAAATATGTTAAAGATATGACAAAGAATTTTAGTCCACATTATCTTTTAAGGTGTCTAGTATTAATATATGAATTCACATATATTCTTAGTTTTGTTGAGTGTGGTCATAGAATGAGTAAATACGTTAGTGATCGGTGGGATAACAGTGAACTTAGGTTTACATATAAATCCAATTAGAGTTGTTAGTGAAAGCTGCACTAAAATGTTGCAATGACAAAATATTGCACTAAATTAAAAGTTCAAATGTTTCAAATAAGTTACAATATTGATGTTGTAATACTGGTAGCACTAATATAAAAATTTGATGATATATTTTACAATAAAGTAACAAGTTTGAAATATGTTGATGGTTGTATTTTTTGGTATTTTTATGCATAATAGTAACTCTAGAATGTGATCACACAGTTTACAATAGCTGGGCTAAGATATATAACAATTTTTATGACTGCAGAAATATGTTAATTCAGTATACACATTAATTGTGACCGACCATAAAACACAATTTTTCACACACTTTTCCAAAACATTTTCAAAAAAATAATTATTGATTATTTCAAAGGGTTACTAATGACACATCATTTGGATACTTCCATGTTTGAGAAAAATTTGGGACTAAACAGGTTAACAGTCGGCCTGCTAAAAAAAACAGGTATATTGTAAATTAGCACTTCATTAACCGCATGCAATCATTAACCATGTGTGTGATTGTTTTGAAACTGGACAACTTTAAGAGCAGAGGAACACATGGCGGAGAGATTACCTAGTCCTCTCTTCATCTTCATCACTGGAGGAAGAATATTCAGCAAGCTTCATTAATGGGCTGAAGGGAGACTTCATTCCCAAACCCTGAAAGAGGAAAACAGTCTGATATTAATGGCCAGCAGTCTGTCAGTCTTCTATATCTGATACTGAAAATAAACCCAAGGGGAAAGAGATCCACAGCACAGAGTGACTGTGTGAGTGTGTGTGTGTGTGTGTGTGTGTGTGTGAGAGAGAGAGTGAGAGTGTGTGTGTGTGTGTGTGAGTGAGAGGGAGAGTGTGAGTGAGAGAGTGAGAGTGTGTGTGTGTGTGTGTGTGTGAGTGTGTGTGTGTGTGTGTGAGAGAGTGTGTGTGAGAGAGTGTGTGTGTGTGTGTGTGTGTGTGTGTGCGTGGGTGTGTGTGAGTGTGTGTGCGTGGGTGTGTGTGAGTGTGTGTGAGTGAGTGTGTGTGTGTGTGATCACAGATAAAGATCGACAGCACAGAAAGCGCAGGTGAGATCAGATCCACACCTGGTTGTGTGGCGAGGCTTGAGCGCTTCTGTCCAGCATACAGTAACCTGCAGGAACGAGAGCGTCAGCATGAGAGCAGACAGAGACACAGGGCTGATTCTGAGTCGGAGAGCAGAGCAGACCTGACTGAGAGCTGCTGCTGGAGCTGCAGGACATCCTCACACCATCACCACTGAACACAGGAAGAAGAGTCAGGAACACAGCAGCTGCAGGATCTCAGAGGAAGAGCGTTCAGCTTACCTGGATACGCATCTGTGCTGACTCCACACATCTTTGAGCTTGGACGCGGTTCGGTCTGGAATCTTGAGACAACGTTTGTAAAAATCAAGGGATTATCATTCATTCCTTTTCCATCTTTTACAGGTGTGTTTATTTATGAGGCGTTTGCTCAGAGTGACTGAAGCCGACTCTTTTTTTCTCCAGTACTCTACACTTAATGCCTTTAAACTACGTTCTGGGTTTCCGTGGCATTCTCACTTTTATTTTTGTGTGCTAACCGTATATATATATCTGCTGTGAATGCATGTCACACTAAAGGAAGGAAGGAAGGCTCCTCCTTTGGGGAGAGGACATGTTTCGACCGCAGCTTTAGCAGTCGCCAGCTATATTTCTGACATCGCAAAACGCTTATGATTTAGTGTCAGCTCAGACTTCTCATATTTCTCTGAACACTATAATATGAACAAACACTCTAATGCACAGTAGCTGTGTTTACATCCAAACTTGCGAATTTAACTTGGAACATCGCATAAAACGTGCAAATTAAGCACCGTTTCCAAAGAGGACAACCTCGTCACTTCCTGGCACTAAATATCACTAAGAAAAATAGGAGAAGCCACTGAATGTGTGACTTTTTTAATGCGCATGGAGGATTTTATTCGGTAAATGTTTTTCCATCGTAGTTTATGCACATTTTTTCTTATCGGATAAAAAGTGTGCATGTGTGTTATGAGCATTTTTAGAATTAATGTTTAAGTTTTTTTTATGCAATATTCCATCATGCTGTCTGTCTGGAGCGGTGGTGACCAACCTTCGGCGGCTGCTCGTCAGAGCTGAAGAAGACTTCATCAAGAGGAGCGGCGGAGACATCTGTCATGGAGCTGCTGTGATGAAGCTCTCGACTGGGACACACGCTCACGTTCTGAAACACACACATAGCTTTCACTACGCTAACCGTGCTGCTCTGTGTCATTATCCAGACACTGCAGCTGGATTTGAAAAAACTGAAAAAGTGATAGAAAGCAAATCTAGCTGGAGATGTGAGCTGTGCTCGTACCGGCGGTTTGGCCGCTCTCTGCAGCGCTGGAGTACACGGACTGGAGCTGCTCCCTGATCCCAGACGAGACTGAACATGAGGAATTCTCACCGCTATACTGTTCAGATTCACAAGATGAGCCTCCAGCGACTCCAGTTTACCTGTCAACTGAAGGCCAGAGTTTCACATCATCATCATCACCATCATCATCATCATCAGAGTGCATCATATGGAGGCTGTGTTTTACCCTGTCTCGAGGACTCCTCTGCTGGAGCACAGGGTCGTGCTGTGACTGATCTCTGGGAAGAGTGCGCTGCTGGACATCAGCATGACATTAGCACAACAAACCCTGACCGGGACCGGCTGCTCAAATACATGCACATCAAACACTGAGCTCAAACGTATGCTGTTAAACTGCTCAAGAAGATTTTTACCTGCTCAGCAAACAGACTCACAGCCGCTGATTGAGGATCAGTCCTGTGCTGTTCACCATCTCTGGGCTGAAATACAGAGACAGACAGCAGATCATTACAACAGAGAAACAGCGGTGCTGTGTGAGTCTGTGTGACTGTGTGTGTGTGTGTGACTGTGTGAGTGTGTGGTGTGTGTGTGTGTGTGTGCGAGTGTGACTGTGTGTGTGTGTGTGACACTGTGAGTGTGTGGTGTGTGTGTGTGTGTGTGTGTGTACTCGTCTGGACTGTGTGTGCTTGACATTAATGTCATTATACAAGTCGCCGCATATTTCAGATCACTAAAATCATGACTTGTATCCCACAGTATCCGGTACTCATGCTGTGATTCAGGTTAATTCGTGACTGTCTCTTCTTAAGGCAGTGAGAACGTGACTTGACCTGACCTTGACTGTTGTACATGAATTACAGTAAGCACACGCATTCACATGCATACATAAGAAATGTAGAACAAATAATGTGACTGTTCAGCAAGTAGTCATTATAAATATTCAGACTTTTCCAAGGAACAAGTGAATTCCTAACTCTGACCTGTTTCTTGTGATTTCTTCTAGTTTTCTCGGTAAGGTCAGTCTCTTCCTGCCACATCATCTCCTGGAGCTCTGGCCACTGGAGTCCGGTCTCGTGTATCAGCCGTTCCTGCTGCTTTACACACACACAAACACACAACGCTTCGTCTGCACTGCTGTACTAACTGCAGAATAACAATAAAGCCACTCAAACACAGTGAACCAAAGTCTCAGTTTCAGCTTCTTCTCATGTCTAGATTCCAGCTTTCATCTACCAACTAAATTCATCCCGGGATGCTGTTTAAACGGCATTAACCCCATGCATTCTGGACACTTGTTGGCTGATTTTCCTCCACTGTTTTAACTCATCCAATTCATAAATGAAAATGACAGTTTTGTAAAGAGATTCACAGCTCAGGTTTGTCTTCAGAAGTAATTTCAAGCGCAAGCTTTTGAGAAACACATTCACTCAAGAGTGCTCAAATGTTGGACTGCTAGTGTGCACATTTAAAAGACTGACATGAGCGGTTCACATTCTAGTCAAACATGCTACGACCAACTGGACATCCAGCATTCACTGAAGATCCAAAGCACACGGACACTGAACACAATGACACAAGGACTGATCCATACGTCTTCGAAGCGGCGGCGCTCCTCCTGCTGCTGCTGGATCCTCTTGTGTCTGTCGGCCAGCAGCTGTCTCTTGTAGTTGTCCTGGCTGTGTGTTTGCTGGAGCAGGTGTGTTTGTGTGTTTGTCTCCTGCTGCAGACGCAGGAACTCTCGTCTCAGCATGGACTCTCCGGGAAGATTGACTATAGAGCTGTGTGAACACAAAGCACGTGACGTGAACGACGCCAGACCCAAGACAAGAGCCATCTGCCACACAGAGACACGCTCACGACATCTGCGCATCACTGCAGAGACAGGAGCAAGCAGTTCATGCCCACATAACAATCTGAACTCATTTCGGTCAGTGGTGCTTTTCCAGTACAGCACAGGGGTTTAATCAGTGGAGCAGGTGCACTGTGCCACTCTAAAGCTGCTTTGACTCAATCTGTATTGTATAAAGCGCAACACAAATAAAGGGGACATGACTTGACTGTGCTAGTTAACTCATTAAAGTTCATAAATGATCATATCTTGTCTCTACGGTCTGAACTGAGAAAGCACCGGAAGTAATGATGTTTGGACACTAATATGAAGGATTCCTATAGAGATTGGTGTAGTAACACATACCTGGGTTCACCTTCATCTTCATTCATGGCATCTTCTTCATCTTCACTGCCACTGTATTCATATTCCGTCCCCTCTGTTAACATCGATCGTAAACAGAGGCAAAATAAAGCAATGAAGCCGTGGTTTACAGTGAATTTATAACAGCTAAGGGACGTTGTTAGGTACGACGCAAAGCGGAGTTCACTGTAAACCACGGCTTCACGGGGCTTATTGCTTTTATAAAGCGGTTATTTCATATACGTAGTTAGGTTTCACAAAATAAAACCAAGCAAATAAAGTGTAATGATATTAATAAAAACAGTATTTTTACACCAAACAATGTAGTTCCTCGGCAACCACTTTATTGAAACCACAACTGATTCTGAGCAACACACAAACGTAAAGGTGTATGTTACATTGTAGAGTAATTTACAACAGCTTAGAACGTGGCTCAGCCAATCAGAATCAAGGATCGGAACTATCTGTTTTATAATAGGATGTGAGTCATGAGGATGGACAAGTTACCAGTGAGTGAGTGCGATCCATTAAACTGTTTTGAACAATGTCTAAATCACCTTTCTCTCGTCTCCTCTTCCTGGTCCTGTCCAGGTGGTCTTTGAGCGTGATGCGCACCTGCCGCTCATTGGGAAGGTCTTTAATGAAGGAGTGGCGTAGGAGCGTCTCTGTGGACGGCCGGTGGAGGTAGTTCTTCACCAGACAGCTGTCCACAAACGTCTGAAACTTCTTAGACCTTCAAGAGCAATAAAGTCACAGGTGAGCATTTTGAGATCGGGATGAGACTCTATGCATGTGGCTGTAATAAATGGCAGGCATCTCACCATTTCTTGGACTTGAGTTTGGGAGGAGGGTTTCGTGGAATGAGGAACAGCGCTCTCATGGGATGCATGTCACACAGGGCTGAGGAGAATACAGCAATCACACACAAACACTGGGTCATCTGCAACCTGTGTGGAGTTATATGGAGTTTGTAAACTCACGTGGCGCTCCCTCTGCCATCTCTAAAGCGGTGATTCCCAGAGACCACACGTCGCTCTGAAACATGCGGGAAGATCACAGTCACTGATGGGAAGCTGTTCAAGCACTGAGGTGTACTAGTCCTACTCACTCTGTAGTCATACGTGGAGTCAGGGTTGTCGTCGCACGCAATCACCTCCGGCGCCATCCAATACGGCGTCCCGATGAAGGTGTTTCTTCTGCCAATCGTCCTGTCCAACTGAGCACTGACGCCAAAATCCACTGGAAGAACACCGGGAAAAACAATGTCTCCCGCCATATACTGTATACACCAGGGGTACTTCTCATGTTCATGCATATTGTTCTGCGCAACAGATGTGTGTTATTTTGCATGACAGAACTGCTTTAGCTTCTGCTGGGATATGATTAGGTTTAACACTGGAATACAGTCAAAACTGGCATTACAAGCAAGCACCCCTAGTGAAAAAAAAATACTTAACTGTAGTTGAAACACATTTATTTTGTGCTAAGTATACTACAAGTACTTTTGCATATTCATGTGCTTAATAAAAATACCCTGCAATTGGTATATTAAACTGGTATACTTACAGTCTGCTAAACTGGAACAACTAATGTTGTGCTTAATGCTCTTTATTTGTGTGGAAGTAGTGCTGAGGTCCAACTAAAGACATACTGAAATATATTTGATTTTGCTAAAGGTACTTCAGCTACACTTTAAATATCCTGCATTGATATTATACAACGATCATACAGACCTTATTAATAGTGATTTTAAAACACATTTTAGGCATAACTGTGCATTGTGCAATAAAGAAATATTCCAAGTAAAGTTTCAATATAATTGTATATCAGTATGTCTTAAGTGATGTTAATAAGTGATATAGCACAGTTTTTTTTTTTTTTACTAGGGACACGTGACAACATTTATGAAAAGTACCACAATGAAATAAAATAAGAAACAATAGGAAAAACGTAACCAAAAACAACCAATCAAATGACGTTTAAGGTGACCCTGCATGGTTTCTCAGTGAGTTAGTGTTTCTCTGCTGATGGGTGGAGCTCTTACCCAGTTTGATCTCAGCGTTCTCCGTCAGCAGCACGTTTTGTCCTTTAATGTCTCGATGAATCACGTGATGAGAGTGCAGGTGTAACAGACCCTGAGAGACCAAACAGAGTTTACACACAACACAAAATAATTTACACACACACACACACACATACATACATATATATATATATGTGCTTTTGTCACAAAAGCAGTTTTCCCCCTTTTTTTTTTTATTAAGAAAAGGTCTTAAAAAAGTGAATGGAGAAAAGTTGCTTACTTATGTTGCCATGACAAAAGATGACTGAGAATACGAAGAATTAAACAGCTTTTCAGCTCTAATAACAGAAGAGTTCACAGAGTTCATTTCTCACGTTTGACTGTGAATAAAGCATTTCTACAAGTACTGTCGTTTATTAACATTAGGGTTATTAAATCAGTGAAAGAACACGCTTTAGACCAGATGAAATTCCACAGTTTTCAACATGGATGAAATGCATTTGATGATATGCTGAAGAATGAAAAGGATGATATGCAAAAATGCCTTGTGGACAGAATGAATTTCATAATCCAAGCAACTCCTTTCATGAATGAAATGCATGTTTCGTTGAGTGATCTCTGTGGATGAGATGCATTCTGCACTGGGAGGTTTCAGTGGTCATATGTGCATCTCAGATGTAATAGAGCTGATGACGCTCCAGGAAATCCCTCATACGGACAAAGCCATCCAGCTGTAGCTGTGACTGAAGAAAAAACTTTCTAGAAATGCTTTGAATGATGAAACATGAAGACAATAAACACTCAACAATGACAATATATAGTTTATCTGTGCTCTTCAAGCCATCTCGGGTATTTTCACAATAATTATGTATATTCATAATCCATTGCTAATCGACATAGCCTTTATTACAGTATGGAATATATTTTCTGCCTCATTCTGTGATAAGAAGCCACATCAGATCAGAAAATTAAGTTATTTCAAACACTCGACTGATGTTGCGGAGTAAAGGCATGTTATAATGTTCTCTTTTGTTGGACAGCTGGTTTAGAAACGCTTCTCATTGCAAGTCATTACAGCAGAAGATGTGTTGCTTTTTCAAATGCACGTTATAAGCGGGAGGCGTTTGCTCATCTCAGTGCATAAACTCACGGACACACACAGACAGAGAGAAATAAAATAGGCCTTACGCAAAGCCACTAGAAGGCAAGCCTGCATCCTTCAGCAAAAAAAGTGTAACGGTTAATGCTAACGCTTCCGCTGTGGCAGTATGTGGGAAAGGAGACCAGAGGCCCTATTTTTTTAATGGATGTCAACGGAGGAGAGGCTTCACTATACTGAATAAACAGCTCTTTAGAGGAAACAGCTTTTCATAGCCTATCGGCTAATCTCCAACATGTTTGACACTAAACAATACTTTTGGATTGAACTATTTTTAGAGTTTCCCCCGAAAAAAATGCCGTTTTATAAGAGAAGCCACTGATTTTTTGCGAGAGCTGGGATTCAGTTTACAGCACTTCTCATTCATTTCTATGGGATCCGTAAATGGTGATTGAGTGTCGCACAACTCTGACTGAAATTCAGTGACGTCAAGGCTGTAATGTGATTGGTTATTAAGGCACACGTGATCCAAGTTGACCATTACGCTTTCTCCAGTAGTAAGTAATACTATTAGTGACCAATCATACCAGCGTACTTTGAGGTTAAAATGTGTGCGGGTTTGGTGTAATCGTGTCATTTATTTACTGATCACATGACGTGTTTTACACACACTAGGTAACATCTTTACTGTAACAGGTATATGTACTACACTGTAATGGCGTCTCACTGAGTTTTTTTTGGCTTGATTTAGCATTGATCAGCTGTGATTACTCACTCTCAGCACTTCTCTGCAGATGTAGGCGATCCAGTCCTCCTTCAGGCAGTTCCCTTTGGTCTTCTTCAGCAGGTCTGTGACCGAGCCGGCGCCGCAGTACTCCATCACCAGCTGAAGAACAACACACATTTAACAGCTAAACTAAGTGCCGTGATCTCTGACAGGACAGCGCTGAGCCGGAGTTCTTTCTTTCACAGTGGGAACATCTGTAAGAACTGCAAAAACATCCTGCATTTAAATATTCTGACAGTGCGACTGACTTTCTCTCACTCTTGATTACAATCTGAATACTGTTCTTCCATAGCACCATACAACTGTAGATCAAACCCTTACGAAAATTAACCATGGTTTTACTACAAATAAAACCATGGTTACTATAGTTAAACTACAAATTAACCATGGTTTTGCCACACTGACCACAGTTAAACCATGGTATTTGTAATAAAACTGTGGTTATACAAATGGTAATCAATACACCAAAAAAACATGGTTACTACACTTTTCCTACAGTAAAACCATGGTTAGTTTCCATGCATGCTCCTCAATACCATGGTGAAAATGGAACTAGAGTATATGGCTTCTACAAAACTACGCTACATGTTACTGTGTTTGTTAAGAGTAGCTTCAACACTTTAATATAAATACAAATGACAAAAATTGACAACAAAAATGACTGTAGCTATATTCCGGTATATCCCAGTTTAATACATGTCTACATTTTTAATATATATAATAGCATTCTATATGAATATCCCACATTTCTGTCAGTTAGTGTTACTACAGTAAAGCCATGGTAATCATGGCACAATTGTTGAGAATGTGAACTGGTTCATCCGCCGTTAAACTCGTTTAAATCCCGGAGACTTTTGGGAATTCTGCATTCCAAACGAGACGGATTACCCCCCAAAACACCCACTCAGTCCCAGTGTACTGGCAAAACCACACCTGAGCAAATGAGGTTTGCTCTGGGGTGCTTGAGCTTTATTAGTGTTCAGCAGATACTCACCCACAGCTGGTCATCCTGGCCCGCAGGACTCTTCTTCACGAAAGCACCGTAATACGTGGCTATGTTCCTGTGATGGGAGTGAGCCTTCAACATGTTAATCTCCAGCTTGATTTCATCCTCCTCCTCCTGCAGAAGACAAACCACATCCACTAGAATAATGACCATGGCTGTTAGAGCAGGAGCACACAGAGAGTGAGTGAGGGAGAGCATATGAATGCTTTAGAGAGGCCTGTGAGTGTTCATATGAGAGGACAGATAGAACGACAGTATGGAAGGAAATCTGGAAGGAGAGGCTCTCCCAATGCTTCATCACCCACTGAAATATAGGGATGACCCAAAACGACTCAAATTCAAGTCATCATTTTACCGAAAACCATTGAACTCAAAGATCTAAGACTTTTTCTATGTACACAAAAGGCCTATTTCTCTCAAATATTGTTCACAAATCTGTCTAAATCTGTGTTAGTGAGCACTTCTTTGCCGAGATAATCCATCCACCTCACAGGTGTGGCATATCAAGATGCTGATTAGACAGCATGATTATTGCACAGGTGTGCTTTAGGCTGGCCACAATAAAAGGCCACTCTAAAATGTGCAGTTTTACTGTATTGGGGGTCCGGGGGGGTTCGAAAACCAGTCAGTATCTGGTGTGACCACCATTTGCCTCACGCAGTGCAACACATCTCCTTCGCATAGAGTTGATCAGATTGTGGTCTGTGGAATGTTGGCCCACTCCTCTTCAATGGCTGTGCGAAGTTGCTGGATATTGGCAGGAACGGTATTGGTATGATGTAAAATAACGCTTTTCTATTTTAATATGCATTAAAATGTAATTTATTTCTGTGATGCAACGCTGAATTTTCAGCATCATTGCTCAAGTCTTCAGTGTCACATGACTTTCAGAAATCATTCTAATAAGCCGATTTATTATCAGTGCATGTCGTGCTGCTTAATATTTTTTTGGAAACTGTGATACTTTTTCAGGATTCTTTGATGAATAAAAAGTTAAAAAGAACAGCATTTATTCAAAATATAAATCTTTTCTAACAATGTAAATTTTTGCTATCACTTCTTATCAATTTAACACATCCTTGCTGAATAAAAGTTTTAATTTCTTTCAAAAAAAAGAAAGAATAAAAATGTACAGACCCCAAAGTTTTGAACGGTAGTGTATATTGTTAGAAAAGATTTCTATTTTCCAGCACTGATAATAAATCAGCATATTAGACTAATTTCTGAAGATCATGTGACACTGAAGACTGGAGTAATGATGCTGAAAATACAGCTGTGCATCACAGAAATAAATTACATTTCAATGTATATTAAAATAGACAAACTTTATTTTACATCATAATAATATTTCACAATATTAAATTTTCTCCTGTATTTTGATCAAATAAATGCAGCCTTGATGAGCAGAAGAAACTCCTGTGAACGGCTGCTGTTATTATATTAACTCCAACTGTTGTAAATTATGTTTATGCTTTTATTTTTAAACAACAACCAAACCAGACTTTGTATTGTATCATAATAATATTTCACAATATTAAATTTTCTCCTGTATTTTGATCAAATAAATGCAGCCTTGATGAGCGTCCTGTGAACGGCTGCTGTTATTATATTAACTCCAACTGTTGTAAATTATGTTTATGCTTTTATTTTTAAACAACAACCAAACCAGACTTTGTGGCATGAATGTTGCGTAAGTGCATTTCTATAGCAACCATTTCTTCAGGATAAATAACCAGTGGCAATCGCAAACAGTTATGCTTAATAAGTCAAGAGAAGCAGAAATCATGATTATATTCAAACACAAGGAATTGTGCAGCGGCGTCACTGTTTTCTGGTCATGTTGTGACTGACAGAGACGAGCATGTCTGCTCAGAGTGTGAATGCATGAAGACGTGAACGTGTGTTTCTCTCATTGGTCTCGTACCTCCGTCACATCCATGACCTTGATGGCTGCCAGCTGTCCTGTCTTCACATGTCGACCCTGTCACACACAAGGACACGCATTTAATTTGACTACATTTTAAAAGATCATTTACATTGTTTTATGCATTCATTACATTACCAACATTTGGGAGAGTAACATTGCAATAAATCGTAAAACACAGAATCCAGAAAGAAATAAAACCAGCCAAAACCGAATATCTGTAGAAAAAAAAAACAGGGCACTATTATTGTTAAAACTTTAATAAACTTCTTCTGTGTAGTACACATGATGGGCTTACGCTGGCTGGTTCTTGTGCTGGCAGGAAGGAAAGAGAGGCAGTATTTCTCTCAAGAGGACAGATTCTGCCTCATCCTCCTACAACACGAGGCCATAACACTAGCACAGGAATGAACTTTATTACAAATCCAGTGCTGAGACAGCTGATGAAAGAAGGGGAAATAACAGAGGAGCTTAAATAAGGCTCTAATGATGTTGAAATCAGTATGAGAGGAGAGAGGAAGACTGCGCACAAGCCCTTCCTGAGCCAGGGATGCAGCACATGCTTTATAAGCCCATTAACAGACGTGATGCCACAGGACTCCATGTGTTCGTCCCCACCGAACGCACAAAGACGACGAGACTCACATCACTGCAGCTGAAGAACACACCTCGTACTTCCAGGACTTCGGGGACGCTTCACCCACCGCACTTTGTGCTTATTCTTGAGGGATTTCTCCTATAATATCATATCATAATATAAGTGCTTCTGACCGCACACAAGGACACGCATTTAATTTGACTACATTTTAAAAGATCATTTACATTGTTTTATGCATTCATTACATTACCAACATTTGGGAGAGTAACATTGCAATAAATCGTAAAACACAGAATCCAGAAAGAAATAAAACCAGCCAAAACCGAATATCTGTAGAAAAAAAAAACAGGGCACTATTATTGTTAAAACTTTAATAAACTTCTTCTGTGTAGTACACATGATGGGCTTACGCTGGCTGGTTCTTGTGCTGGCAGGAAGGAAAGAGAGGCAGTATTTCTCTCAAGAGGACAGATTCTGCCTCATCCTCCTACAACACGAGGCCATAACACTAGCACAGGAATGAACTTTATTACAAATCCAGTGCTGAGACAGTTGATGAAAGAAGGGGAAATAACAGAGGAGCTTAAATAGGGCTCTAATGATGTTGAAATCAGTATGAGAGGAGAGAGGAAGACTGCGCACAAGCCCTTACTGAGCCAGGGATGCAGCACATGCTTTATAAGCCCATTAACAGACGTGATGCCACAGGACTCCATGTGTCCGTCCCCACCGAACGCACAAAGACGACGAGACTCACATCACTGCAGCTGAAGAACACACACCTCGTACTTCCAGGACTTCGGGGACGCTTCACCCACCGCACTTTGTGCTTATTCTTGAGGGATTTCTCCTATAATATCATATCATAATATAAGTGCTTCTGACCAGTGAGATGTGAGTGTGTGTGGTCAGAGTGAGAGGGGAAGAGAAACGTGTTCGCTCGAGTGTTTGTCAGGGAAAATCTGCTCTCGGCCACACGCTCTTTTCACACATGAGAAACACTCGACTAGTGAATCTGCCGAAATGGAAGTCAGACGTTTCATCATTTTGCAACATTAACACAGTTGTTTGCTTTGAATGAATCTGTATCTCTTTCTTTCTCTGTGGGTCTCTGAAATTGTCAGTCAGCTGTCAACTAAGCAGACTTCATTTCTGCTTTTTCTTTACAATCCACACTCAGCATCTTGGGCTTGACTGAGACCTGGATTCGTCCAGAACAATTTCTCTTTCTCTCACACCCCCCGTCAGGTTGGCTGGGGTGGGGCACTGGTCTGCTCATTTCTAACAATTGGAAATACTCAACCCACTCTCCCCTATGCAATTATAACTCATGCGATTACTGTAACAGCTCCTATAAAACTCCAGGTTGTGGTAATTTACCGGCCTCCTGGGCAAATTCTAGCCACCTTCCTAGAGGAGCTGGATGAGCTGCTGTCCTCATTCCCGGAGGATGGCAGTACACTTTTAGTCTTTGGCGCCTTCAACATTCATCTGGACAAGCCTTATGCTACAGACTTCCAGTCACTCCTTGCTTCATTTGATCTCAAACGACTTACCACTACAAGCACGCACAAATCAGGCAACCAACTTGACTTAATTTACACACGCAATTGTGTTGAAGACAACAACCCTTACACATCTCTGACCATTTTTTCATTACATTTAAACTACATTTTGTTACCTGTGTGCCACCAACCCCTATACCGGTTACTTTTAGACAGAACCTGCGCTCCCTTTCACCCTCCCATCTTTCCTCTGTAGTATCCTCCTCTCTTCCCTCACCTACCCATTTCTCATCTCTGGATGTGAATGCAGCAACTGACACTTTATGCTCTAGCATTCCTAAATGACATTTCCCTTACATTCAAGTTCCAAAAGTGCATTCATCTTTGCCATGTTACATTCATTTAGTTGACTAGTGCTATACACTGTATTAACAAAAACATTAATAAATAAAAACACTTACACTGACAAGCTACGCAATATCGCGTTCATAATCGAATGCGACTCATCTGCGATTATCAACGCGATATAGCAGTGATCTACGACTCTGTGTATTAAATGCCGCTCCATCTGGAAACACGTGATGGAGATTTACTACTTATCACAGAACCGACTTTACTGACGAGATGCGCATGACAATCACATGCGATTTATCGTGCAGCCCTAATTTTTTTGTTTGTTTGTTGATCACAAAGTACAAAATAGATTAGAAAAACGTCTCGGTTACGTATGTAACCCTCATTCCCTGAAGGAGGGATCGGAGACATCACGTCGGAGGACCGACGAAATTGTGATCTCGCTTAGAGGGACCAATCTACTTTGAGTGTAAACTAAACGAGCCAATGCACATTGGCATGCGATTATTGCATTCAGCTGCTGCTGATCACAGCGTGAGTATAAGTAGGCAGCAGGTGCAGCGCATATTCAGATTTCCACGGAGGACCCGAGCCGGTGACCCGGCCGCTCAGTGGTGGTGCAGCAACTGACACTTTATGCTCTAGCAGCTCTACTTTAACCTCTTGTCTAGACGATATTTGTCCTCTCTCCTCCAGGCCAGCACGGGCTGCCACTTCTAACCCCTGGTTATCCGATGTTCTTCCTGAGCGTCGGACCAAACTCAGGGCAGCAGAGAGAAAATGACGCAAATCAAAAGATCCGTCGGACCTGAGTATGTATCAGTCTTTGCTTTCATCTTTCTCTGCTCAACCATACTGCCAAATCTTCATACTTCCACAACAAGATCAACAGTGCTCCAGACACACATAACCCTTTTAAAACATTCAAATCTCTCCTCTGTCCCCCTCCAGCACCTCCCACCACTTCTATAACAGCTAATGATTTTGCCACATTCTTCACAGACAAAACTAGAACAATCAGTAGTCAATTCTCAGCTCCACACACACAGGACTTTAAATCAACTACACCCACCACTAAAACTTCTGTCCCCTCACTGAGGCAGAAGTATCCAAACTTCTCCTCTCCAGCCATCCTACAACATGCCCTCTAGACCCAATACATCTCACACATTTTCCAAGCAATCTCTCCCACACTCTTACCAGCACTCACACATATCATCAACACATTTCTCCTCACAGGCACCTTCCCCACTGCATTCAAGCAGGCTCGGGTAACCCCACTGCTCAAAAAACCTACATTAAACACTTCTCTTATAGATAGCTACAGAACTGTCTCTCTCCTTCCATTTCGGACCTGAGTATGTATCAGTCTTTGCTTTCATCTTTCTCTGCTCAACCATACTGCCAAATCTTCATACTTCCACAACAAGATCAACAGTGCTCCAGACACACATAACCCTTTTAAAACATTCAAATCTCTCCTCTGTCCCCCTCCAGCACCTCCCACCACTTCTATAACAGCTAATGATTTTGCCACATTCTTCACAGACAAAACTAGAACAATCAGTAGTCAATTCTCAGCTCCACACACACAGGACTTTAAATCAACTACACCCACCACTAAAACTTCTGTCCCCTCACTGAGGCAGAAGTATCCAAACTTCTCCTCTCCAGCCATCCTACAACATGCCCTCTAGACCCAATACATCTCACACATTTTCCAAGCAATCTCTCCCACACTCTTACCAGCACTCACACATATCATCAACACATTTCTCCTCACAGGCACCTTCCCCACTGCATTCAAGCAGGCTCGGGTAACCCCACTGCTCAAAAAACCTACATTAAACACTTCTCTTATAGATAGCTACAGAACTGTCTCTCTCCTTCCATTCATAGCGAAAATCCTCGAACGAGTTGTTTTCAACAAGGTATCATTGTTTCTTTCACAGAACAACAAACTGGATGCTAACCAGTCAGGTTTCAGGAGTGGCCATTCAACTGAGACTGTGCTACTGTCAGTCACGGAAGCCTTGCAGATTGCAAAAGCTGATTCCAAATCATCAGTTCTTATTCTGCTGGATCTATCTGCTGCTTTTGACACTGTCAATCATCAGATCCTCTCATCACTGGGCATCACAGGGATTCCACTTCACTGGTTTGAATCCTATCTCACTGGTATGTCTTTCATGGTGTCCTGGAGGTATCCAAAGCACATCAACTGGTCACTGGGGTTCCTCAGGGATCAGTTCTTGGACCCCTCCTCTTCTCCATATACACTACATCACTGGGTCCCATCATACAGGCACATGGCTTCTCCTACCATTGCTATGCTGATGATACCCATCTCTATCTCTCATTTCAACCAGATGATCCAACAGTAGCTGCACGGATCTCAGGCTGCCTGGCGGACATCTCGGCATGGATGAAAGAACATCACCTACAGCTCAACCTGGCAAAGATTGAGCTTCTTATCTTCCCTGCCACTCCGGTCAACTTTGGTCAGAAATCTTGGTGTAATCTTTGATGACCAGCTGACCTTAAAAAGACCACATTGCAAAGGCTGCTCGATCTTGCAGGTTTGCATCGCACAACATCAG